CTCAGTTATAGAGGATCCACACACATTACCAAGCAGCGTAGACAATATTATATCGCGGATGACGCCGAAAAAAGGACTTACTAATCGGGCGCTGTACATCCTCCACAACAGTCCCGCGAGTCTGTGAATAATGTGAGGCGAATTCAGGGAGAAATTCCTGAATGGGTTTCTTATACTGCCTTATGATGGCAACTACGCATGATTCAGTGTGGAAAAATCAGGGCTGGCTCTTGCTACTTTGTGCCATGCATGTTGGGATAAACTGAACTCACAGGGATATCAAAGGCCTATGTCTCTTTCTTCGGGCAGATGACGGCTAGGAAGACTCGGGTCGTCGGATGAATCCGGAATCGTCGTGAGAGATTTCGGCATTTTGGAATGACGAAAAACAGGATTCAGATGCCGGAGTAATGAATAATCAGATCAGACTGAATGTCGGCTAGAGTAGTTGTAAAGTGGTAAAGTCACTGGCCCTGAATGTGTAAGCTATCTTAATGTATTCAGCGAGTAGGAAAGGCGATCCACAAGCAATCAACCTGGTGGCATAATTACCGTAAGGTGGGAAGAGTAGTAGGTCAGACACGAAACCCTGGATAATTCCTCGGGTGATAAGTGGTCGTGATGAGTAGAGACTCTTGATTTTACTTACCCGTGTTCTTCCGGTAGCGTGTCACCAAACCCTATAGATCGCAATTTAATGAGGACTGCACCGTGTGTGACATGGTCAAGCGCCTCACGCATATCAGGGACATCGTTAACATTTATTACCATCAGCTGAGATAAAGTCAGGTAGAATACACCAACCTGGTACCATGGCCGACGAGTGACAAAAAATGCGCCTCTTCTTTTGACGTTTTCCTTTCATCAGTCATTTGCAAACTTGTCCGGAGCAAACGGCAAAATTACCACCTTACGACGCGAAAACCCCTTTAGGCATGTCGTCATTATATTTGCCCATACGGTCAAACGGTAAATCGGAAATTTCTCAAATACGCCAATAACACTTTCGGCCAAGTACCCGTGAATTTAGTTGGCTGCTACTTTAGGGCTTTGTTTAACAACTCATTACAAGGACCTTTCTTCTGTCAGACAATACTTACTTGGCTTGTCAATGCCCCGAAATATAACCAATAGCGGATCAAACGATGCCAATTTAGTGCCTATCAAAAAAGTTGTGAATGGATATGGTGGCTCTCGGAAATTTCCCTTGTGTTTCGGCATGCTTTGAGTGGCATTCACTAGTCAGAACGTATCCGATCTTTAACATGACGGCAAAGCCCTAGTTTTGTCGAGTACTGTGTGGCACACCACCCAGATTGTTGATGGTCGTCACCAAGTTTACCGGATATTTCCTGTCAAACGCCCCGTAAAATGCTTCTGTCGATTGTCGGAAGCCTCACCTACAGAATCTAACTGCACAAAGCTGTGCCGCAAAAAACTGAAACGGTATACTTGTGAGTTTTATTTACGAAACCCAGGTGAGCACGTCTCCCTTGGGATGTAAAATTGAAAGTTAATTAACATATGAGAAAATATAGCCATGCTCCGACTTTATGCCACCGAAGGTCACCCCCATTTTAGTTGTGCTCCACGAAATTGAACAAAGTGCACACACGACTCGATAGGCTGCAGCGACGTTTTGTCCCGTCCACGGTCGGAAACTGCGCGGCCATTTGAGTCAACTAACCATATGGATGGGCACGTTATTGTACAAGAAAGCTGACGTTGCCTGAGCCCTTCTGCTCCGTAGCTCACAGACACCTTTGTTATGATCGTCCACCTCGAGCTCGTCAACCATCTGCGTCTTTTACATTCGCAAGCTCTGTTGTGTATGCCGTTGATCAAACACCTTGGCTTTCCCATTAGGGATTTTGCGCTGGCCGCCGCCGACAACCATGAAAGGAACCAAACAATCCCAATTCAGCATGCCTATAGTGCGTAGTTCTGTTTACTTAACTTCATTTTAGGCGTTCTCGATTAGCTCAATTATCTTCCTAAATGAGAAAAACATTGGAACGTTCTTGAAAGAGGATGTATGAAGAACTCACAATCACAGGTGCTTCTCACGCAAAGTCGAAGCACATCGGCCATTTTGCATTGATTGCAAAACGTGTTGGTTTTTACGGAGGACCCAGATAAATCCCAGCTAGATCAGTCGTTTTTAATTTTCTTCCTGTAATTAGAGTTCAAGTGTACCATGGGCTTAAGGACTACCCGGGGAGTGATGATAATAACAATAATAACAATAATCACTATTATGTTTATTCCCAACCCAGTGAACCACAATGCGGAAGAAACCGATTGTGGGCTATTGAAAGGTTTTCGGCAACCTTAGATTAGTGTGTTGCACCCGTGCAATTTCTCGCGATAATGGCGCATCGTTCCAACTAAGGCATCAAGTGAGCTGATGTAGCACGTTGATCAGAGAATGAAAGTGATAATCGAAGACTTCAGTTGGGTATCCAGTTGGAATCAAATAAGCATGCGGATGGGTGTACTGCCTCAATAGATATATTTTTACGTGGCCACAATTAAAGCACATTCCCTCGTAGTTACGGACCAATCCAGAAACCGAAGTATGTCAGTGCAGTAATGCCACGGCAACGCCACACCCTGTCGGATGCCACTCCCACAAAAATTTTTTTGCACTCGACCGTCACCTCAGGCCAACTTGGGCCTGTCACCGCAACTGCGAACAACTTGTTTAACCTACCCCAACCGCCTTTATATTGAGATCTTTCAGCTCTGCGGGACCTTCCGTTAGCATTTCACCGGCCTGGTTTTCCGATGCAATCCCAGTTTCCCCCTTCCAAAAGTTCACTGATTTCATTCAAGATGCTCGTTTGACCCTATGTATCGAAAATCTCCTTAACATCTCTCTTCCCTCCGGCAGCGTATACCTATTGACGCCAGATAACTTATTTCTTCGGGAACATTTGATAAAATCGATTTGGCTAAAGTCAAGAGGACTGTTTTCTATAATATTACCACGGTAAAGCTACGAAGAGAATGTGGTCATACACAAACCCTCTCGGCCCCGCACTAAATAAGTGGTGGGACTCTGTAAGGATTTATAATAGCTCTCAGGGTATTTTAAATCCAAATGAATCAAGTCTTGTTACTAATATATTAAACGTCGTCCATCTCTACCTGCATCAAATCTGCTGTAGAAATGACAATATGCGATCAAATATCATCTGGGCTCCGGATTGATTGCCAGCAGCCGCAGGGTCGTCCCCATGTGTCACCACCATATACCCACCACCAACTCTGACGCATCAACATACCATGCAGTGAGGGTAACCTGCGTGCGTTCATCTTCAGGGTATACTGATAACATTTATTCAAAGGAGTTTGGGTCAAAACGAAACAAACTGTCTTCATCAGAACTAGCCTCAGTATTATCCGACTACTTCGAGAAACCAAAATCCAAGGTGATCATTCATTATTCAAAAAGGGCTGACTGTAAGCTCATGCGCAGTGGCGCCATTGAGAACATCAGAGATCCAGCAATTAAAGCGGACACAAAAGACTTAACTTATACCTAAAAGTTTTGCTAACCGCGTGGCTTGTTGTTGCTCCACCCTCAAACCTGAAAACATGTCCTGCCTTAAGTGCCCATGAAAATTAACATTTACTGCCAGAATACCAACCCAAGTGAAAGCCACTTGGATAGCTCTCCAGCGCGGTAAGTCGAGATAAAGCATCTGCCTTCACTGAGCATTTCCGAACACAAACCTGATTACCCCAAATTAAGATTGGCTAAATATTTCAATCAGTTTTGCGAATACCTATGAAGCCTTTTGCTGATTTCTTTAACTTTCACCAAAATCTGTCCGATGCAGTAAGAGAAAAGGAAACTAAAATACGGAATGTTCAAAAAAATTGAATGGAGGAACAAAGAGAGAGCTACAAATAATATTTTGGATGGCCCGTCAATTAGTTCTTTTTGATCTTAGGCATCATCCTCTGCAACAATAAACGACGCGAATTCCCAATAATGCAGGTGTCATTTTTGAAAAATCTAGAAAGACTCCGGCGCATCAGATTTGTAGTGGTCTGGCTACCCAATAAGTTACTTTACCAGGAGTGTGTGGCAAAGAACTGAAAATGATAACGCTAGATTGAGCATACGACAATAAAGAGGTCAGATGGAACAGACTCACTAATAATTGTACGTAAAATAATTAGTCGTTGGCTCAGGTCAACGAATAAACAATAATCCAATCATGGTATTCTAGGGGTCTCCTTCTGAACAATTCCCACATACAATACATCCCGAAGGCGGTCTGAAATGTTATTATGCCAGAGTTGACGCGCAAGACTCGCGAATAACTGCTGCAAGCACGAGCGAAATCAGAAGAGAGAGTCGAAGCACGTGACCACGTTTGTATTGCGTGAAATTGTACGAGTGCGCGTTTTTGTAGCTTTTCGTCTTCAAACTACAAAATCATGCAATTGACAACGTATGTAGTGTTATAGCGTTATAACGTTACGATGCTAAAAGTACAAAACATTACACATTACCTTATGAGAAGCCTGGAATCCGAACCACTGATATACCTTCAATGCTGACCCGAACTTCTCGACTCCCCGACCACTTACAGGCCACCCATTTCCTGGAACCGCATTAAATTCTTTGAAACTCATGAACACATCTACTTCCACCCCTTTTTAATTAATATTAACTGTATCCATAGTCGGCCTCCCGTTTTTAGCGCAACACATCCGGCCTGATATATTTATCTTCCTGTCAGTTCTATCATATCCACCACGACAAGTAGCTGGAAGTAGCTCTGCACATTAATTTTTATAGGTTTACTCATGGCCCACGGGTAATCAGCCTCCTAGACGTACATAAACCTGATGAATATGTCGGTTTCATGGGCCTTTAGGATTTGAACTAAATGGATAGACTTTGTTTAATCCAATACGGCGGTAAACATCCGATCTGCCAATAGCGTTCTGCTGGGTCTTCTCGATTGTGAAACAATTTAAAAATGTCCGTTCACAATCAACGAGGCAAGGTGAAGTCCGCTTCTCGGTAAGTAGTTGTGTTCTATGGTTCGTATTTTCTCAATACTTGTAGCATTCGCCCACAACGAATGCCGGCAAATTCCTTCAATTATTCGAAGGCGTCCCCAGCTTTCGTAGGTTCCATCAACTGTATGAGTTTTTTCTCAGAACTCCTCTGGGACAAACGATGATAGCCTTGGAATCTTTAGCAGTACTGAGCTGACCTATTGGCTTGGGCGCCACGCCCTTGTAAGTACTATCTTGTCCCCTTGATAATACCTACAGGGTAACATTGGTGAGGTTACTACAGTTGATAGTGAGAAAATACTCGGATTGATTCGGGCCATATCTCCTGGCGTAAGTTGTCCTTCATTCCTCGGCTACATTTCACAAGGGGGACATGGGTCTCACCTATGCGTACACGACCCATAAGACGAAAAATGGACATGTCCACGCAAGTGACATTACTGTGCCGTTATCCGACTGGAAAATGGTCCGCATACCGAATATTAAGCTGTCAGATGGATTGATGGGTTAGTTCATCACTTGGAATAAACTGGCTTCACAGGCGAGTTGAAAAATGACACGGAACCCGCACTTGAGCCCGATTCAACGGATTTGGGGACCAATGGCAAAGAACTTGTTCCATTTTTCGCTTCATCTGACGCTGTTCAAGATTGTGTTCTCGATCAGGGAGGGTTCCCAGCAGAAGAAATGTTCAAAACTAACAAGGAGCTGTTTTCAGTTTCCTCAACTTATAACCCTGAGTTGACAGAATACACGTAAGTCTGTCTTTGCTACTCCTTTATTTGCTTAGAACGGCGGTCGACAGGAGTGCCCCAAATTTCTCCGAAACAGAGGCACGTTGCGCTCAGCTAGCCCGCGACATTGAAGGAAGCCAGCCGTCAAGTATCACTCCAGAAGACGGATGCGAGGATGAGGAGCTCGCCTTTAGTGCAGTGGTTCGCACTTCACGCGATCTTCCAGTTCAACCTCGACCGTCTGTCCGAAAAACGCGTGGATCCCAGGAGCGGATCAGTGCTGTTCGCGCGGAACCTGGCAAAGCACGGACGCAGTCAATTCAGACGGCAGCTGCCAACACTAGTGATTCCGCCGAACCACCAGCAAATAATTCGGAATCTGTGGGTAATGAGTCAACCAAGCCTGACCCGCAGTTGGTGTCAACCGCTGCCAAAGCTTCTAACCTGGCTCTTCCCGAAAAGCCCGTATTGGTTGACGATTCGCGTACTAGTGCACAAGCACCTCCGGAAGACATCGTGGTTAACTCTACTGCACGTATTACCAGCTCCGTGGAAGAGAAAGTCAAAAAGTCCACACTGGATCCAAACGCTCCGGAATTCCACCCTTTAAGCTTACAGTACGCCAACTTGCCTCCACAACCACAGATGCCCTCGGCATTGCCTGCCGCGTCATTCGCCTCGCCGGTCGTACACCAGGCAGTGCCTAATTCCCAATCAGGCCAGGTAGCGATGCCAACATTACAGACCTTCGTGGCTACCGCGCAACCACACTTGTATGCGCCATCTTCTGTTCCGTATGGACCTCATTCAGGACCGATTCCCCATCTGTTGTCGGCTGCAAACAATGTGCAGCCGCATGTCCGAGGTGGTTCGCTTCCACCGACCATTCATCAACAACACTTTCCAACTTCGATAAATCCTCAAGCAAGTTTGCTGTTACAGCAATCTCAACAACCGGGAATGTCGCTTCCACAGCTGATTACATCACAACCACCAGTAATTGCAGGTCCAACACCGACTAACCGATTCTCAGGGCCGCCATCGTCGGTTGCACACGTTCACCAACGATCTGATACGTCCACGACCCCTCACTCATCCGCTTACGGAATTCCTCAGGCTAATATGTCTGTTTCCACTTTCCAACCACCGCTTTACCAGATACCTCAATCAGGCGGTCCAATTCCTCTTTGGGTCACCGGTCACCCACAAATGGGATTACATTTCATTCCTGGTGCAGGTGGCTCTTCGCAGTTGATGGTTGGAAATATACCGCTCTCACAGGCATCTGGACAGCAGCTGTACCCCGCCCATGCAATGTTGCATATGCAACCCACCCAATTGTCTGTACAAGTGCAAGTTCCACAAGCCCCTCCCTCGACGACTCCTCAGCCGTCGCAGTCTCAACAGGTTTTCCAGGCTCACTCTGCGCCTTTCCAGGAACATCCACACCATATTCAGCTGCCAGCATACGCTGCCAATATGCTTTCATCTCAGCAGGCCTCAGCTCAAAACTACTATCCTGCCCCTCCCACCGTGCTTGCTGGTCCGAACCCAAACAATGCAGCGGTTCAACCCGGACTGTTACCTCTAATGAATCATAGTGCACAGCATCCGGCCAGTGGTAATGTCGGACATCATCCTCCGACGATGGACCCATCACTACTAAATCAGCTTCCAAATCCCCAGTTTACACAGCAACCTAATGACATTCTTCAGCATTTCGCTGCTGCCCATTTCTTTCAGGCGCAGCTGGCCGCTGGACAGCATCTAAATTCTCAATCTTTCCCACGCACCTATCAGACATTGGCTGCTATGGTAGCAAACAACAATAATCCGTCTTCACAGTCACATTAGCCTCGTGCCGAGTTGCTCTACATCCAAGACCTCGACTGTGCTACTTCTGTTCAATGGCTGGACCCAGACGCCTCACAGAAGATTCAAAACGGACTATTGTTTTGACAGCTAGGATTATTTACCCATTCGCTGGAAGCCAGATGCAAACAGCTTTTATTTCAGTGATTTTGGCCACTGCAAAATTGGCTTGAATTTATAGGCTGTGGTTTTGATCAACTGGGTTGGCACTGTAAAGTTAGTTAGTGCGCTCTGTCGTTAGAAATAAACGGTATGAAATTCAAGCTGTTGTTAACCTAACCGGTACCGAGAGTGAATAATGGCCTTGAATGTCAAACCGGAAAATTTCTGGATGGAAAAGATTTAGATGACTTCGGGTCGGGGGCCGGAGGATTAAGTTGACTCACTTGCACGCCATCGGTCTTCATTTGAGGTGAGTCTGGAATATGTTGGAAATTTAGGTGTGACTTTGGTTCAGCGGTCCATTGGGTCCATTATTCTAACATTTACATTGTACACGATGTGGGAGAGTCCGAAATGGAAGTCAGAACATGACCTAAGCCTTAGGTGCATGTGGACTTGCAGTTAGGAGCAATTTACTCATGTGAATATTACGACCATGGTAGTATAGGACCAAGTGATAAAAACATGCACCGTATGGTGACCTGGGGCTTATTGGTTCGTGGTTGGTGCTCGGGTGTCGGTGTGACTTTCAATCTCCTATCTAGCTTATACCGAAGTATCATACTTGAGAGCGTTTATATTACTGTCGCAGGATGTTCGGGTGACGTCTGGTACTTCGTCGACTTTGATTCATACCGTCGGCACTCGCAGTGTTTAGTCGGGGGGGGGGGGGGGAGGGGGGTTTTTTTCGTGANGTAACTTCTGGTAGTTCAGCAGGCTGTCACTAGTACCTCATGGTAGCACCGGCTCGGTCGTCCTTTCTAGCTTCAGGGCTCAACCTTTCGCATGCCCTTGACGCTTTTCAGACGGCCAATTCAGCGTGCCAGTCGTTCTAGGTATAGTGGGAGCAAAGCGGTTGGCTTCCAACAACTGGTAAGAGCGTGGGGTTCTGTAGTTGCGGACTATAATAGTCAATAATCCCTGAGTTTTTTTTCACCAGATGTTCACCTGTAATGTCACGAAAAGTACATGAGTGACCGGGAACAGTGCGTAAGCTACCTAATGTCAGCCCGGAGAACCGGGATTTAGCATTCTGATGTTTTCTGCATGTATTTCGGAAGTGGGAGGGTCGTCAGTATTTAATTCAAGAGTACAGAGAGCAGTCCGGTTCTGGCGGACTTCGTACGCTTATGCATCCCAAAGGTGGCTGTCTTGGTCGGAGAATTCAGCGCAGGTGGTATCGATCTCGCCCAGAATCTAGTCCAGAACGAATTGAAGGCTGGCGAGACGAGCTTTAACGTCGATTTGCCAACGGTTTTCGAGGTAGGCGTGTAATTTGCCGTTGACACCGTGTCCTTCCAGAGCATTGAGCTTTAGTTCGGTCGACTATTCGCCAATTTATCATCTCCCACCTGCAATGCGCAGCTACCTACCCCCCACCAAATCATCGGTGAACGAAACTGCGGCAGCTACAGCCACTGCGACGAGTACGCGGTTATTACAGCTGACAATGAGGATGGTGACTTGCGCCGTTTGGGACAATCCTCGGTAAACCGGCTTAGGGACATAGAAACATTCTTCTGCGAGAAGTACATACCTGCGTTAGAGCTGGCAGCCACCTATGAGCACAGTTCTACTTCGATTAAAGATTACCTTGCTCAGGCTAAACGCCAGTGGGTGATGGTTCTTGAGCGGCAGAGGTGCATTGTTTGGTGGCGTGCGTTTAGCGGCAGAGGTGCATTGTTTGGTGGCGTGTTAATCTATAAGGGTGCTTCCAGTCCCAGTGGCTGTTTGTAGTAATCAGAGTGGGTCTTCTGAGTATCCTTGTGTCAATGTTTAGTAACTTACGGTTCCTATTAAATCGGCCAACGATAGTGTCCACCATTTTTTTCTTACCCGGGCATAAGAATGGTGTTAAAAAAAGTGTTCGCTGTTGATAGAGCACTACAGCATTGCTGCACCACACTCCTATCTGATGGCCGCACATATATTGGGTATTGTATCACAGGCATAATACTCGGGGTCTCTGGGTTCGCATCTACTCTGACACTTCGATAGTCCCTGGGTGGCCCGATAGCCTTTGGTCGGCTGTGTCTTCTGTTCTGCACGGATACAGTTTTCAATATGGATGTGGTGTATACGTTATGAGTCGAATCATACGGTCGACTGTCACTTTGTCTCAACCATGGAATCTCTTCCCCACTCCTGAGGAGGGTCATGCCATCGTAGGTCTAGCTGTATCTAGAATGTAGATGTACTCGCTTCTTGAGAGACGAAGCGAGACGATAGAAGTTCCGAGTTGTTTTGAAGTCCGTGTGAATCATCTTCCTGTAGATAGGATGGTTTGGATCCCTTAACCAAGGCATCTGACCCAAAAACCCGAACCGCGAGATAGCAGTACTTGATTCCCACTGCAGCAGAGCATCGGTGTTGAATGCTAATATGCTGTCGATTATGATGATGAGTGATTGACGCAAAACTACCGGAGTAGTCCAAACTGAGGGACGAAGTGCCACACTTTCCTATCCCCAACCTCGGAGAGGGCTGGGAATATTGCGTTTGTCACACTTCAATTCATTGACCAACCCGGCAGGAGAGACCTTGGATATTACGTGGACATTCTCCAGTGTTGCTCAGTAGCCTGCTGAGGTAGTCGAACTGTCGACCTTTGATAAGTTCTATTCTGCGCGACATTAATAGTAAGGGCGAAAGGAATACGATGATGAGTTAGGAAATTGCTGGACGGTAGGTGTGGGTGTGGACGGCTCCAACACGTGTGACAGCTGAGAAAAAAGTCTGTATGCTTCGACTAGACAGAACAGGTTAGAAAGATAGGGTTAATGCGTGAAGGAAAAGTATTAGGTATGGTTCCCAGTGGTAACAGAAACTAGCCCAATAGTATTGTTATCCGAAAACGAATTCTAGCGTACAAGAATGCGAATTGTGATTTTCCATTGGTTTTCCGGTGTGGAAATGTTACCCAAGCCGAAGTGATCGGTTTCGTGGGCTTAAGTTGCAGAACCAGGTTTGACCCGGATTCCGCGATCCCCTATTAACCGGTGACCATGTCTTTGGTTCACATCGGTCCGTCACACGTGCTGGTGGACGTCAAAACAGTACGTTCTGGTCGCGAGCTAATGGAGCTTTTTGCGCCAGTCATATCGGTTGCTGGGAGGTCTGTAGCAGCTCAGAGAGCAGACACCCATAGGAAACGTTGGTGGCCGATTGTGCAATGGATCTATTTCCATAACTTCCTAGCCTCAGGACTAGTCATACCAACCTCTGACACGATACCATCTTTGGGCATATGCGGCGGCGAAACCCAACACACATTGGTAGCATAATCATCATTTGTTCACGTAAGTGGCTTTTTCAAAAGAAACAAACCCTCATTCTTAAGGGCAGGAGGTTTTTCCTCTGCCCACAACGCGGAGGCCTACAGTTGGTTCGAATGTTCGAAGTTGATACTTTTGGTGAGCATGCCATGATTTAAATGTAGGCTGAAAAGCCGGTAGGACGTTGTCCGAATAGACTTGACCTCCTGTCAGGGTTTTAAGCGGCCCGAATGACTTCGTCTGCAGAGCTGGAGATGCGATAGACAGAGACTACTCCAACGTGAGAGGACTTGACTGGGAAGTAGTGCTTTTCAAAACGGAGATGATGTGCGCAGGAAAGGATTTGCGGCACATGGTTTCACAGTGGCAGTACGATGTGAACGATCACCAGCAGACAATGACGTAAATTGTAAACATCCGCTGACTTTCTTACGCAGTTGACCAGGTCGAGGCAGGGTATTACTCGGAGGCCCCACTTTGAAAATCTGTCCCGTAATGTAAGGGAGCGAAGCAAGAACCCCATATCCAATGATCACAGTTGCAGTCCACACACTCCTTGAACGGCAGAAAACCAGAAAGGAGGAAGCACAAGGACATTTTACGCCAATGGGCCTTGAACTGTTAGATCCTGTTATAAGCCAAATAAAATCCCACACGCCACTCGTTCCTCACTACAAGGAAAAGCACTCTCCTAGAGAAAATGGTGACCCCTCTTCTGATAGACCCGGCTCCTTGGAGCTGTTTCTATAACCGCCATGGTCATCATCATCGACAGCATAACATCAGTGTTCAACACTGTTGCTTCGTCGCCGTATAAACATTTTTTTGAAGGCGTTATTTTGAAGAGAAGAATAATAGTGGAAGGGGAAGGGGCTTAATGCGACCAACCATCATTACGACACCCATTCAGGTAATCTGGATAGAACTCCATTGACATCGATTAGCAGCTATATCTTGCAGTGTCTCCAACCAGTCAATGAGGATCATGCGGTCCCCATCCTGGGAGGCGAGTAGCACTGAACTGTTTCGTACTCTAAGACCTCTCTGCCAGGTCAAGGGTTGACCACTCTGAAATGGGCACGGAAAACAGCGCTTCTGTAAGCGATGCTTCGATGTACACAATACATGGCATAACCAACGCGGCTGCTGGTACTGGACACATTCCTCAATGGAAGCCCTCGTTGCACAACCGAAAACTCGCTTTCTAATTTTCTCGTTACGGATTCCCCCGCACCAACCCGTACGATCTATAATTCTGAGACAGCGGTTGTCGACGTCTCAGTCCCGCTGTTCAAACAGACCAAGTCTCACAGTCACACAGCACAACAGCCGTGCTGTAGCCTGATACACGTGTCCGTTGAGATTCAAAGACATGCCGCCTTCGAGTGGGTCTCCCTGAACTGTAAGTGACTTGTTCAGTGACTGCATGTCCAGAAGCATCACCTTACGTTTTGTGGGTGTGAAGTGCATGCCAAAGGAGGAAATGACCATTAAGTTCATCTAAAAGCACATATGTCTCGTCTTCGAAGACGAGAGGTCTTGGTC